CTCTATGCCCAAAATCCGGCCTTGATGCAAGCCAAAGAATCCGAATTTCTTCTAAAGTTATCTTCCCCAAGTCTTGTTTGTTGAAGACCATGTACCCAAGTATACGGTGAAGCAATCTCAAAGCGGGGTGCATGATCTCACTAGCCAAAGAATACTTTGCATCAAAATCGTTGTTTCGGGAGATTCGTTTCCACCATCGTCGGGGGTTGTAGTCCGGGAGTTGGACATATTCGGGTAAGAGGATGTCGGCATTGGGGTTGAGGCCGAGGTATTCATTGAATTTGTGGAGGGACATTGTCTCTTTCTTGTTAAAGAGTTGGAAGGAAACGGAGATGTTGTTGTTTCCGGAGGTGTATTTCTCAAAAGAGGCGAGAAACTCTAGGGTGGGCTCTCGGTATGTGTTGTAGGCCCTTGAGACAAATTCATTTAGTCCAAGATTGTTGAAAAAGAACCAACAATCTTCATCAATGCCAAGTTGGGTAGTTATGGGTTGATGGTAGTGTTTGGTGGGAAGGAGTTTTCTTGATTGGAGGGCATCGAAGTTGGCTTTATGGTTTCTATTAGAAATTTGGTTGGAGGCAAAGGTGGTGGGGGTTCCACATTTTGAGGGGTTTGTGAAGATGAACCTTGTGGCTCCTTTCCACTCTTTCTCTTTCTCTTCTTAGAGCTAGTTCCAACCTCCATTTTTTTCTTCTTCTCAAGAAATAACACAAATACCTTACTCCAAATCAACTAACCACCACAAGTAACACCAAGCAACCACCACAAGTATCACCAAGCAACCACCACAAGCAATATACTTCACAAGGCAACACAAATTAACCAAGAACACAACAAATATTTCCAACAACAACTCACAAAAACAAATCAACCAAGAGTTAGAACAATACTAACAACAAAATTCACCAAATCAAACATGAAAAATCTCCCAACAAAAATCACAAAAATTAATCATGAAATTCATCCAAAATTGCATAAGAGTTCAATAAAAACTAGAAAGGAGAAGATTATACCAACAATGAAGCTAAGAATCACCTCCAACTAGCCTCCAAGAACATGAACTCCAATGGTGCTTCAAGGAGAAACAATGGTGGAAATTCAATTTTTTTGGATTTTTGATGATGGAGAATGAAAATTGTTGATGAATTTGATGTTTTGTGAAGGAATTTTGTGGAATTTGGGATGAATTTGATGATTTTGTTGGAGTTAGGGTTGGGGTTTTTGGGGTTTTTTAGAGAGAGAGTGAGTGAGAGAGTAAGTTTGATGCGAAAATTATGAAAGAAGGGGGGCTCGGCTGCTGTATTAATCTCGCGAAGTATGTTGTAGAACCCAGCGGGCCGCGCCCGCGGAAACAGGGCCGCGCCCGCGGGTCCTGAACAGCCGCGCCCGCGGCTCTGATGGCCGCGCCTTCTCCACGGGCGCGGCTAGGCATCTCCCGAAAGTTTTTAGCTTCTTGATCTTCCTGAGCCGCGCCCTCTCCTTCATAAGCCGCGCCCGCGGGTTCCTGGAGAGGGCTCTCCTTGGGCGCGGCTTCACACCTTCATTGCACATTGAATTGCTTTTCTTCTTCCTCTCTTAATTCGAACTTAGCTCAATAATCACCATCATATGGCCTCCAATTCCAAACCATACATGCACCATGGGGGCAAGTACCTACAAATAAAAATCAAAAACCATAAGACAAAAGACAAAACAACCAAACCGACCACAAGAAAGAAAAATAGAGAAGAAAAGAGTTAGGAACTCGGGTTGCCTCCCGAGAAGCGCTTTTTTATGAGGTCACTAGCTTGACCATGAGAAAAATTCATTCAAAGGGGTGGCTTAGGACCCAAAGGATCAAGCTTTAGACATTCGATTAGACCAACTTCTTCTTTGCAAAAATAATGCTTCAAACAATGACCATTGACCATGAACTTGTTCCCATCCACATCTAACTCAAAAGAACCATAAGGAGTAGTCTTCGATACCACAAAAGGCCCCGACCACTTGGACTTGAGTTTACCCGGAAACAAGCGAAGCCTTGAGTTGAAGAGCAAAACCTTATCTCCAACCTTAAAGCTCTTGTTTCGAATATGTTGGTCATGCCACTTCTTGGTCTTCTCCTTATACATTCTTGAGCTCTCATAAGCATCATCTCTAAGCTCTTCAAGTTCATTGAGCTTCAACAATCTCTTCTCACCGGCCAAAGACAAATCCATATTGAGTTCTTTGATAGCCCACCAAGCTTTATACTCCAACTCAACCGGCAAGTGACAAGCCTTTCCATAGACCAACCTATAAGGGGTTGTGCCGATTGGAGTCTTGTACGCCGTCCTAAGAGCCCAAAGTGTGTCATCAAGCTTGAGAGACCAATCTTTCCTTGATTTGTTCACCATCCTCTCAAGTAGATTCTTGATTTCACGATTCGAGACCTCCACTTGGCCTTGAGTTTGAGGATGGTAAGGTAGACTAACCTTATGATGAACCCCATATTTCTTAAGAAGAGCCTCCAATTGCTTCTTGGCAAAATGAGAACCTCCATCACTAATTAGAACTCTTGGGACCCCAAATCTAGGAAAAATGATCTTCTTAAGAAGCTTAAGCACAACCTTGTGATCATTGGTAGGAGAGGGTATAGCTTCAATCCATTTTGTCACATAATCAACCGCTACCAAGATATATAGGTTCCCACATGAAGAAACGAAAGGCCCCATAAAATCCACCCCCCAAACATCAAAGGGCTCAACTTCTAAAACACTTTGTTGGGGCATTTCGTCCCTCTTGGTAATGCCGCCACTTCTTTGACATCTATCACATTGCGCAACGAATTTGTGGGCGTCTCTATGAATTGTCGGCCACCACAATAAAGATTGAGAGATTTTTGCCACTGTTTTGTCAACACCACCATGTCCTCCACATAGTAGTGAGTGGCAGTGCTCAAGAACACCTTCAATTTCATGATCTGGAACACACTTCCGAAAAAGGCCATCTCCACATTGCTTGAATAAGTATGGGTCATTCCAAAAGTACCTCCTCACTTCCTTGAAAAACCTCTTCTTTTGTTGAGAAGAAAACTCCGGGGGGAACGACTCCACAAGCAAGATAGTTGGCTATATCCGCGTACCAAGGGCTAGAAGTTGACACCATAGCCATGAGAGTCTCGAATCCTATCTCATTATTAATTGGTACATCCTCCTTGTTCTCAAAAGATAGCCTAGACAAATGATCCGCAACATAGTTCTCCGCTCCCTTTTTGTCCCTCATTTCCATGTGAAAGTCTTGGAGAGAGAGAACCCAACAGATCAAGCGAGGCTTTGCTTCTTTCTTGGTCATGAGATATCGCACCGCGATGTGATCCGCGTACACAATAACCTTTGAGCATATAAGATAGGACCGAAACTTATCAAATGCAAACACCACCGCTAGCATCTCTTTTTCCGTTGTTGTATAATTCTTTTGAGCCTCATCGAGAGTCCTACTTGCATAGTAGATGACACATGATTTTCCTTCTTTCTTTTGACCAAGAACGACACCTACTGCAAAATCACTAGCATCGCACATTAGCTCAAAAGGCAAGCTCCAATCCGGAGCTTGCACAATGGGAGAAGAAATGAGAGCTTCCTTGAGCTTATGAAATGCCTCAAGGCAAGCCTCATTGAAGCTAAAAACAACATCCTGAGTAATTCGGTCAAAGGTTTGGCGATTGATGAAAAATCTTTGATAAACCTCCGGTAAAAACCGGCATGCCCAAGAAAATCTCGTACTCCCGTGATAGAAGTAGGAGGGGGAAACTTTTCAATCACCGAAACTTTGGCCGGATCAACTTCAATGCCATTTTTTGAAACCTTATGGCCGAGGACAATGCTCTCCTCGACCATAAAATGGCACTTTTCCCAATTTAAAATCAAACTCGTCTCTTGACAACTTTTCAAAACTTTTTCAAGGTTAAAAAGACAAGTGTCAAAAGACGAGCCACCAACACTAAAATCGTCCATGAAAACTTCAATTTCTTTTTCAAGCATTTCGGAGAAAATGGAGGTCATGCATCTTTGAAAAGTAGAGGGAGCATTGCATAATCCGAATGGCATTCTTCGGTATGCAAATGTCCCATATGGACATGTGAAAGTAGTTTTCTCTTGATCACTTGGATGGATAGGGATTTGGAAAAATCCGGATTACCCATCCAAGAAACAAAAGAAAGCATGGTGAGAAAGTCTTTCAAGCATTTGGTCCATGAAAGGGAGAGGAAAATGATCTTTCTTTGTATTTTTGTTCAATCTCCTATAATCAATACACATTCTCCACCTGGTCACCGTCCGGGTGGAGATTTCCTCTCCCCTTTCATCCTTGATTATGGTCATTCCACCCTTCTTTGGGACTACATGAACCGGGCTAACCCACTTGCTATCGAAGATAGCATAGATGATGCCCGCCTCACGTAGTTTCAAAATTTCTTTCTTGACAACCTCTTGGAGGTTGGGGTTCAACCTCCTTTGAGGTTCAATGGAGGTGGAATGATCATCTTCAAGATGAATACGATGCATGCATAAAGAAGGGCTAATACCCTTGATATCATCAATGCTATACCCTATCACATCTTTATATTTTCTCAAAACATCAAGCAACTTTTCCAAATCAAGTCCATCAAGGGTAGCATTGACAATAATGGGGTATTTTTCCTCCTTATCAAGATAAGCATATTTCAAAGAAGGGGGAAGGGGCTTGAGTTCTACCTTGGGAGGAGGCTTAGAGCTCTCCTCCAATTTCTCCTCCCTTGATTCAAGCTCAATCTCGCCTTGTTGTTCAACTTCCTCTTTTGAGGATTCCTCCATTGCCATGACAAATTCTTTGGCCTCTTGAGAGTGGAACTCTTCTTTGCATGTAAGAGCTTCCACCATTGGATCTTGAGGCTTTATCATGACTCTCCCTAAGCGGTCCAACTCCTCATTCACAACATCAACCCTATAGCACTTTTCAACCATGGGGGTCTTGAGCAACTTAGAAAATTCAAAAACTATCTTCTAATCGGCCACTTCACATGTGATGGTATTGTTCTTGCAATTTATGACCGTCCCCAAAGTTTTAAGAGCTTCACGACCCAAGATCAAGGGAGTGTCCACATCCTCCTCCATGTCCATCACTACAAAGTCACAAGGCACATAGATGTGTCCCACTTGAATTGGAACATCCTCAAGTTCTCCACAAGGAAATTTTACCGACCGATCGGCTAGTTGAATTGTCTTCCTTGTAGGGATAATCTCAATATTGAGTTTTTGAGAAATGGATAGAGGGATTAGACTAACACTCGCTCCAAGATCGGCCAATGCACCCCTAGCTTCCATGTTCCCAATTTTCACCGGCAAAGTGAAACTCCCCGGGTATTTTTCCTTCTTGGGCATCTTATGTTGGACAAGAGCACTCACTTGATGTGTAAGGGTGATAAGCTCATCATTGAGCTTCCTTTTGTTGGTGAGGATTTCCTTGAGGAACTTAGAGTAAGATGGCATTTGTGTCACAACTTCAATAAATGGGAGATTAATGTGCAAATTCTTCATCACACTAAGGAACTTTGCAAACTTGTCATTCAATTTCCTCTCCGCAAGTCTACTTGGAAAAGGAACCTGAGTAGGGGATTTTTATCCACCAATCACCGTCTGACAAGTGGACCAACCAGGTTCCGCCACGTGTCCTTCACGTAGGCCAATAGGAGCCTGCCACGTGTCAATCACAGATACGTCCTCTACGGACCAATTGAGACACGACACGTGTTCACCCATGCCAAGTGGGAAAATCGGCCAACAAGGCCCAATCCTGTTTACAGGCCCAGTCAGCCCTAGGTTTACCCTAAACCTAGAGAGTGGCACGCTTCCCGAGGTTATAAATACCCCTCTTAATCCTCATTAAGAGGGGGAGAACTCGAAACAACACACGGATTACACATTAAACACTCTCACCTAGAGAGACCAAATCACCTTAATTTCCGCATTAATCACTCCTTAAACAGTTACTAACTTGACCGTTAGAGGCGGAGCTCCTACCACAAGGAGTCTTTGTTGTTTTGCAGGTACAGGCGTCCGGTTCCAGTCTCGGTATTGTAACTCTCTCGCAGGACATCAGAAAACCCCGAAACATTTTGGCGTCGTCTGTGGGGAGAGTACTTCTGAGATGGCATCCACGTTTGTACCGACTTTTGAAGAGAGGCGTCCCCTAGACGACCCTCAAGTCCAGTCGGACCATGATACTGACAATGAACTTGAAGTTGAAGCTCACACAGCTCCAGACGGGACCCTAAGGGCCCGACGTACCCGTCAGACCGAAAGGAGGGAACGGGAACATTTTCAACCTGTAAGCGAGCCAACAGGCGCACCGTCTGTTCGGCAGCAGGCGACTAATGGGTCTGCTCCCATCACAAGGAACGAACTCATGACCTTCATGAGGGACTTCAAGGGAGAAATTCAAGAGTTGCTTAATAAGAAGCCTGTTCCGGCCAAGGAACAGTCGGCTAAGAAACCTTCCACCTCAGGTAAGAGGAAGCCGGTTCAAGGGCGAGAGGGAACTCCTCATCCTAAATCCAGGAAGTGGGAGCCGCCTGCCCTTGACCTCACAAAATACCGTTTTCCTACTCCAGGAAATAGGAAACCTGTTCGTCACATTCAGGCGGACGGGTCGAAGAAAACATACACAGACGCTCGTCTGCTGTTAGAACAGAAGAAGAGTGACCGACTGTCAGAGTCGGCCTCTACTTCAAATTTCCAAGAAAGTCTGCGAAATACCTCGATGAGGCATACCCAGTCGTATCATGAGAGTCAGTCAGGCGGCACCTCCCGTCAGTCAGGCTTTCATAGCGACCAGGCGGTACCAAACTTACCGTTTGTACCACACCAACATTATTTTATGCAGCCACCTCCGTTTGGTGGACACACAGCTAAAAATGTCCAACCTTTGGACTGGCAGCTACGGTTGCTTAGACTTGGTGAACAGCCGTCGGCCTTCTCCAAGGAAATCACTGAAGCCGCTCAGCCGGCCAAAGTGAAAAATGTGTTAGTAGGCGCCTATGATGGCACTACTAACCCAGAAGATCATCTGATGGCATTCTCCAACCTAATGTACCTTCAAGGGTTGGATGATCCCACTTGGTGCAAGTGTTTTCCAGCGACTCTCAAAGGAATTGCACAGCAATGGTTCGGCAACCTGCCGACTGGTTGTGTAAACAACTTCAGAACGCTTGCTTACTTGTTCACCTCCAACTTCGCCATGAACATTCCTGCGAAGAAGACGACCCTTGATTTGGGAACAATTCAGCAGGGTGAGAAGGAGGGGCTTCGATCCTACATCAGGCGGTTTAACCTGATGAGAATACAGATTCAAGGGTTACCGGATGAGGTAGCTTATACTGACTTTTTCAGGGGTCTCAAAGACGGGTCGACCTTCAAAATTTGATCTGGTTCGAAAGAGGGTGGAGACTCTTCAGGAGGCCTTGATTGAAGCAGAAGCCTATATACAGGCAACTGATCTTTGTAGTACAGTGAAACAAGGCGACAAAAAGTTCGACAAAAAAGAAGGACGACAGATACAGTCGTCAAGCAAAGATAAGAAGAGAAAAGAGGTCTGGGCGGCTGATTCCTCTAAACAGCCGGCCCAGAAGAAGAAAAAAGAATTCAAACCATACTCCCCAAAGTATGCGTTTAACAAGGATAGCCAAGCTATCCTAAAGGAAATCAAGGGACGGATCTCTATTGAGAAGCCGGTCCCCATGAAGGGTTCTGCAAGCAACCGGAACCAAGACAAATTCTGTGATTATCATGAAGATGTTGGTCATCACACCAACGAATGCATCAGTCTCATGCGGTATCTAGACCGCCTGGCTGAGCAAGGTGATCTTGACTCCTTTGTCAAGAAATCCACGGGGAGCACTTCCTCGAAAAAACAGTCGGCCAAAAAGAATCAACAGGCCGACAGCTCTGATACAGATGATGCAGTCGTCTACACTATTGCAGGCGGCTTCGCAGGAGGAGGCCCCACTATTAGGGGCAACAAAGACAATATCAGGCGGCTAGATGTAAATTCTGTTCACCCAGAACGGCCCTCCAAAAATTCATTTCCTGAGATTGTCATTACTGAGGAAGATCTAGGAGGGGTCAGGGGGCCGCATGACGACCCTATCGTCATTGAATGTAAAGTGGCCAACCAGAGAGTTGGCCGAATCCTCATAGATACCGGAAGCTCCTCAGATCTTATCAGTAGCAAATGCCTGTCAAAATTGAAATACAAGACTGATTGCATACATCCGGCCTCCCATCCTTTAGTAGGGTTTGGAGGGGGAGTCGTCCACCCTGTAGGACGAGTAGATTTACCCATCCGCTTGGGTGAAAAAGGGGAAGGACGACACATGGTAGTCCGGTTCCTGGTGGTAGAAGAACTCTCGGCCTACAACATGATTCTGGGACGACCAACCCTAAATAATTCCAAGGCTGTAATAATCCCATCTCTTATGTTGCTCAAGTTTGAGAGGGATAATGGAACAGTCGGCTCCCTAAGGGGAGATCAGAGGATGGCCCGAGAGTGCTATCTCTCGGATGTCAAGCCCACTGTTATGGCCGCTGGGTCCAGTGGAGGAAAAACTGACCTTGACAATGTCAAGGATAATGCGCCTGTTCAAGAAGCAGGCGGCAAGAAAAGAAAGGCATCCCAGATGGGGGCCGCAAGAAAAGATAAAAAATAGCAATCATTGGCAAAGGAGCGGTCGGATGAATTCCGCCCTCAGCCGGCCGGTGAGCATACGGACCTGATCTTAGATGTCTCACGTCCTGACAGAACAGTTAAAGTTGGGACGACTGCTCTAGGGGTCCTAGGTGACGACTTTCACAATCTGTTGAAAGAATACAAGGACATCTTTGCATTCGAAGTCCATGAAATGCCAGGCATTATTCCTGAGCTGGCGGTACATAAACTGGCTGTGGATCCAAAAAAGAAGCCGGTAAGGCAGAAGAAGCGGAACTATGGCGAAGAAAGAAGTCAGGCGGCAGCTGCCGAAGTTAAAAAATTACTTGATGCAGGGTTCATTCGGCAATGTTACTTCCCAGACTGGGTTGCAAATGTTGTGCTTGTTAAAAAGCCGAATGGTACCTGGCGAATGTGTGTAGAATACACAGACTTGAACAAGGCGTGCCCAAAAGACAGTTACCCTCTGCCTAAAATTGACAACCTGGTCGACTCAACAGCCGGCCATGCTTTGATGAGTTTCATGGACGCCTACTCTGGTTTCCATCAAATCCCTTTATGGAAGAAGGATCAGGAGAAGACGGCCTTCGTCACTGATCAAGGGTTATACTGTTACACGGTCATGCCGTTTGGTCTTAAGAATGCCCCGGCCACCTTCCAACGAATGATAAACACTGTGTTCTTTGATCAGATTGGGAGAAATGTCGAGGCATATATTGATGATATGATTGTCAAGTCTAAACTTCAGACAGATCATCTGTCGGACCTTCGAGAAACTTTCGCCACACTCAGGCGGCACCATGTCATGCTCAATCCCAAGAAATGTGTCTTTGGAGTTGAGTCTGGGAAATTTCTCGGATTTCTCATTAATCAGAGAGGAATAGAGGCGAACCCTGAGAAGGTGCAGGCGGTCATCAACATGCAGTCGCCTCGTACCATCCGAGAGGTTCAGAAGTTAACAGGTTGTCTGGCGGCCTTGGGAAGATTTCTAAGTCGATCAGGCGACAAATGCCTATACTTTTTCCAGGCAATTAAGAAAAAGGCAAGGTTTGAATGGGGGCCGGATGCTGAGGCGGCCTTCCAGAAATTGAAAGTTCATTTGCATTCCTTGCCGAGGCTAGTCAGCCCTTTGCCCAAAGAACTACTCTACATGTACCTGGCTGTCTCTGATCATGCGTTAAGTGTTGTTCTTCTTGCTGAAAGAGACAGCTGTCAGCTCCCGGTCTACTTTGTCAACCATGTGCTGAAAAATGCCGAGTTGAGGTATCCTTTAGTAGAGAAATTTGGTCTTGCACTCTTCATGGCTGTTAAAAAATTAAAGCCCTACTTTTTGGCGCATGCAGTCGTCGTGTATACAGATCAACCGATCAAGCGGCCACTGACCACCATGGAGTCGTCAGGCCGAATGATCAAATGGGCCATAGAAATATAGAGCCTCGAAGTTACCTTCGAGCCTAGAAAAGCAGTGAAGGGGCAAGCCTTTGCTGACTTTATTGTTGAGATGACTCGTCCCCCTGACTCTCAAGTTCCAGATCAAGTCTGGAAGGTATATGTGGATGGAAGCTCTACTTTAAATGGTTGTGGAGCAGGCGTCATATGTCAGTCGCCAGAGGGTGACAGGTACGAGTATGCTCTACGCTTCAGTTTTCAGGCTTCAAATAATGAGGCAGAATATGAAGCTTTACTAGCCGGAATCCGCATGTGCAAGGCGGCAGGGGCAAGAAAAATAGACGCCTGTTCCGATTCACAATTAATAGTGAGTCAGTACAATGGCGAATACGAAGCG